TCTGCCTCTAGAGAGTGTCGTGACGGCATCGAGTGTGAGCTCATTCTTGACCATAATAGTCATTCTAGCACCCCAAGTGCTCCATGATTCATGCATGGATCAATTGTGCCGAAATTGACACTTCTAAATTGGAGATATTCGTCTGGGAATTCTGGTGACAAGTATGCCTTGAACTTTTCTGTCAGTTATTAACACTTGATATTTCTATCACCGTATTTTGCAAGCATTTTGGTGGCAGGAATCCCAATGCTTCTGGCACGCCTCTTAAACTAGTCAATTGTTCCTCAAGTTATAAAGTACTGTTGTCAATGAATTGTATTTTACTTAAACCTTATCTTGAAATTCTCTTCTGGATTTTGTATTTGGTAGAGTCACCCTCACACTCTCGCTGCAGGCGTTAGTTTCCGTTTTCTTTCTCGCTGAGTGACAAAACACATCACGCATGGATCCCTTTTATCGTCGAGCCAAAGTTGTATTGCCTTTTCAATTATTTTCTTAAGTTCATAACGTTTTCGCAAATTTCTGGTTTTATTTTTGGCCTTATTCGTAGACTCTAGGGTTTGAAAGAGATAATTTTTTTTAAAGAAGTTTTAATGTTTCGTTAATTATTTAAAAATTGAAATTGTCCCCAAATTTGGTACGCAACAACAAAATTGTGCATGGGGTGATCCTGGTGCTGCTACACTACTCTGGTTGTGTCAGAAGCCGTCGGTCAGGTAGCCTTATTCCACCACTCCTGCTTCTACACGTTTTTCTATTATTATTGTCTGTCACTGGCATAAATAATAGAGGACAGAATTCAGTTAACTTCATAAATATAATGTGATTGCTATATAATGTACCTCAATGAGATCTTACTCTGTGTTCAAGATTAGCAGTAGTTATTATTAATTGTTTGGAGAGTTTGGTCTTACTTTGTCTGCCACATTTAGCAACAGCCATGTGCTTATCTGTGACAACATCTCGGGTCATTATAGCCACATCATGATTTTTTCGCTATTTATAGAGATTTTAAAAAGTGATTCATTATTTTGCTCCCTCACTCAAAGAACAGCATTCGTATGTGTAAGATGATAAATCCTGTACATGTCCTTGCTCGCTGGCATCACTTTGTGTAATAAATATCCCCGAGAATGATTTGTTTTATAATGTAATAATTCTGTCTTCATTGTGGTGATTATTGCAATACCAAATAATATCACCAATAAAACCGCCGTTTGTTTATAAGTTTACTTTATAAGCTCTTCACTAATTGTAGATCCTCATTGATAGTTATGTATATTTAGTATGCTCGATATCACTAATGGGTGACACGGTAGATGTAGCATGGGTTTTGGCTAATTGCTCAGTATTTTTTATCTAAGCTAAGGTATTAATAAGTATCGTTCAATTGGCATTAAACACAGCGGATAGTACGCTTATTATGTGGCATGTTTTGTCGATCATATCTTCAAAATGACGAGGACTAGATATTACCTGTTGTGGGTCAGTGACGGTAAACTATCAATCAGATTCTAGTGATTCAGACAACTATGTGCCTCAAAGCATGATTCCTGACCCAACGCTTCGTTTAAGGATTCCGTCACTGGAAACTCTTGATACGAACGGAATGTTTTACTCCAGTGGGTAGAGGTTCAGTATTATGAGAATATTGTCAATAAATACACACACTGCCATGAGTTAATCAATCAGGGAATGTAGGTAAGTTCTCATCATTATCATACGAATAAAAATACACAAGTAACTGCCATAATAAAGCAGTAGCCCTTATACTGATTTGCATTTTCTACTATATAACCGTAAAGCACCAACTATGGGTAACTTAGGCATTATTGTGAAACACGCCATTTAATTTGTTTTTATGTTTATGCAATAACTCAGCTCTAAAGTTCGCGCTTATATGACATTATTTTAATTACAGTGAGGGATGGGTAAGATGGTGGATGGACAATTGAGCGAGAGGTATGATGCTGGATGGATGAGTGAGGAAGAGGTAAGATAATGAATGGATGAGTGAGTGAGAGGTATGGCGTCAGCCATGTTAAGTTTTTGGCCAGTTGCAGATAACTTTTGTTCTTTGGTGTTTACATTACTGGAATAAATTAGCTCACATGTGGTAAAATTTATTAGGTGCGTTTGGTAATTAATGATGCCATTAATTTGTAGTTTGTATTATCATTATCCAAATGCTCGTCCCCATACACAGAAAATTTTGAATATATGTACAGAAATTGTCACTTAATGCAAATACTATGTATCTACTGAGGCTGATGTGTTAGGATTTTTCTTCTTTCTTCTAAATGCCATGTTGTTATAATAGTGGGTCAGTTTATAGTAGGGCACCGTTCTTTCTTTGGGTATAAGAAATATGTGTAAAAATATCAAAGAAAATCACCAAAAACCAACCAAACCTAACCTCACCTAACCTAATCAGGGGGTCTAGGGGGGCGGAGCCCCCTGATTAGGTTAGGTTAGATAGAACGGTGCACTAATATAAAAAAACCGAATAGTGTAATTAGTACTAATTGCAAACCTTATTACGCGCTTAAAGACCTTCTTTGTTGAAGTGCAGTAATAACATTTTAACAGGACAGCGCCGTTAACCAAAGAAAACGTAATCGTTCACAGTAAGCTATGGGTAACTAAAGGTGAGATGCTTGTATCAGAGGAGAACTATTTTGTTACCACCCACCGCTCCAACAGAATCGGATATACAAATGGCAGGCTATGTGTGTCTTTATGTATATAATTTCTTATTTGGGCAACTATTTCGCAGTGACCATGCACGGAACTCTGTATTGAATTGTATATAGGGTGAGAAAAATTATAATAATAATAATAATAAGATTCTCTATGGCGTCTCCGTCGGAAGTCTATACCTTTTCGATTTCACATAAAGAAATGTAATTTTGATCACACAAAGTGGGCAGAGCTTTGGAGTAGAGGGGCCATCCTTCCTGTCCTGTTCCTGCTCACAGAAAGAAAAGTTACATGCAAATGGAAACAGGTGTCCGTTTTTCAGGGCAATTTAACGCAAAAGCATACTGCAAACGCATACTGCAAACGCCTATACGGAATATTAGTTTATTACTACTAATGCAAGGAAAACAAATGATCTAGAATCACAGTCTTATAAATGGGCAGTCCTAGAAACCAGGACAGTCAAGTGTTGGTAGTACACAAATGTCAGAAGCCTAGTTAATAAGACTGATATATTGAGCGCATATGCGTACACACAACAAACAGACAACACTGGGATTGGCGAGTCCTGGGGTCGAGATGGTGTGTTGCAGGATGAATTTTAATCACCAGGTTATCACCCACCATTTACATAAGACAGCCACAAGAGGTGGTGGTGATTTTTTTTTCTGTATGTCAAGGAGCACCTGACAGTGACCATTAATGGACAAGCTAAACGAAATGGGATCATCAGTTGGTGTGTGCTATAGGGCTGACTCAGCTTCGGAGGAGGAAGTAGCAGATCTCCATTGAATCATCCAGACAACATCCAGAGCACAAGACCTCATCATGGGAGACTTTAATCATGGGTCAATAGACAGTGAATCTTACCACACAAACCGAGGGAGAAAATTTCATTGATCTCATTCAAGACTCATTCCTCACACAACACGTCTGAACCCATGAAGGGAGACAATAAACATTCTTGAGTTATGACCGAGGAGGCTCTGGTCGACGAGGTCCACGTCGGGAAAGATTAACTACAACCAGCTTTAAAAATTATAATTATGAGACTGAATCAGTATCTCCTTTAATGAATACTGTAATACCATATCATCTAAAGATATTGGTATAAATTGCCATGTAAGGTGTAGTATTAGAATAAGCATTTCACCCACAACTCATTTCATACCCTGAATGATGTAATAATCCTAAATATCTTTGGTGACGAGCCCCTGGAAATGCCAACTACCCCAACAGAATAAACAGATTCATTATGAAACACTAGTCTATCACTTCCCTCAACAAAAATTACGTACAGTACTGCACCAATCGTTTAAAAACTAAATGTCCCTGGTGACTTTTAAAAGGTTTATGATTGTTTTAAAAATATGGTGTTAAAGGAGTTGTACTGTATTTAAAATTACTAATTCCTATGTGAGAAAATGTTGGGTACATCGTTATGTTTTTTTTGTGTGTGTGTGTCATTATTCCTGCTGTGAATTATTTTTATTCCTTACGTCTGGACTACCATTCTTTACCGGAAAAAATTATAGATGAAATAATAGGATTTAATTTAATGTAATGATATAGAAATCCTCAGGGTTAGTACTAGAAGGAACATCACACGAGGAGAATTAAGGGAAAAAATCCACCACGAAGAAAACTAGGAATAGAGACGTGACTATTGATTGACGCGGTGCCTGTCCTGATTTGAAAATAGCGATATTGACAATTAAAACACCTGTGTGTCAACTCTCATAGAGTTTTCGGGTACGAGCTAAGTACTTAAGTTACTATACGATTATATTCTGGTCGTGCCAACAGCCATTCGTGTTTTACGCTTTTAGTAGCTGTGCCATTATTAGCTTTTTGCGGTATAGTAATAAAGGAACCGTCAATAGCCATTTTCATGTTAGAACTGACGATTAATCTAAATTAGGAGACAAAGAATATAGAAAATATAATGTTGAAACTGCATTTCAGTTTAATACTTATCATGAATAAATATTATCTCATATCGAAATCCATGGAAAAGTGTAATGTATGAACTGTGGTGGATCCAGAACAAGAGAATCTGAGATAGACGTGAATCTAACTGGTTGTCTTAATCCACAGCACAAAAATAGTGAAGGAATCTGTCTTAGTATTACTCCCGAGAATCTACCCTAACTAGATACATTATTTCGTCGTCCATTGTGGATTAAAATTAATGTACACATATCTGAGCATTTTCTCACCCTGGGTTCTTCACATCGCCATGACAGCTAGTGTACCGTAGTGTTGGTGCTGCCACCTGTGGGGGAGTGAGACAAACTTGACATTTCACCGGAAGTCAGGCGAGTCGAGTCAGTACGTGGCGGTGTGAGCGGTACGTTGTGTAGCTCCCCGTATTATTTGGTATATTTGCCTGTGGTTCTGACCCATAGAGGTCACTAGGACAAAATTTATCTCATAACTCAAGATAATAGCATGTCCATGTCGGGCGAATTCGGAAACCCATTGAGGAAATTCAAGCTCGTCTTCCTGGGCGAGCAGAGCGGTGAGTAGCTATACGGGTTTATGTTCAACTAACTGCATAGTTTACTTCTTATGAAATTCCAGTGTTCCTGATAGACTTTCAGGCGATGAATTATCTTAAGGAATTGTTTTTACAGTCTCAACCAGATGCAGTCCTAAGTAGAGCGTAGTTTGCATGTTATTGGGGCGTGGGGACGTGGCATTGATTTTCTGTGAATCAGCTGGTTGTTGGCGACACATCGTCTACCTGCGGCGCCCACGCCCACTACGCCCATTTCTTTGTCTCCTTCCACATTTCCATTACACAATATTTGAATGTTTTGCATAACTAGAGTCTCCTGGGCTAAGCTAGACGGGGGTTCCTGACGGTATCTAAGCTGGTCAGAATGTGGGTTGGGCACACTTTGAGAGGGTTGCCACTTTAGTTCTTTGACTATATCTACTGTTATGTTTGTCTTAATACACTGAATGTAAACTTGTTGGGGAACATTGAATATGGTGGTGTAAACTTGGGGGAAAGAGCATTTAAAATCTCGACATTATACTGTTCAAAGTTATATGGTCTTGCCAAACGGGCTTTGGGGGTTTAGCCATACATGACAAGACAGTGATGTCAACCAACCAGACGGGCATACACTCTTTTTGTGTTGGTTGTTAGCTAGGTTAAGTTGGTTTATATCTTGTACCATCATGAATGGTTTAGTTCAGTGTGAACAAACATGACCACAAACCTCCTCAGAACAAATAGCTAGAACATGATTTTCACACACTGATGCAGGTCTAGAATGAACGGATTATTTTATAAATTGTTTTGGGAAAATTTCAGTAAAAAGGTTTGTTTTATTGTCATAATCCATGACTTGTTAAGACCAGGTGCCACTAAATGAGAAATTTAGTACTGTTTGTTTAGGCAATGGATATTTTGCCATGACCGGCTAAGTTCCTGCAAATACTATTTTACTGTGCATGCACTCTAATTGGCTCATCGTCCATTACCGCCGCACAACACGAGAACTATATTTGACCGTGACGCTGACGGCATTTGGCATTTATTTTAACGTGATTCGATTGTTGTGTAGCTGTAAACATACCTCACCACATTTCTGTTGTGCATGGAAACATCATTATAAAAGTGGCGACATTTACTGGAAAGTAATAGAACCTGACCTAATCAACCAAAGAAGCCTACCTAACGTCCTAGCTAGGGGCAGACCCCCATCATGTTAAACAAAGTACTTAGCCAGTCAGAGCACACTTGCGGTAAAATTGTGTTAATAGAAACTTAGCCAGTCACGGAAAAATATCCACTACGTTTTGTTTACAGAACATTGTAGTGTGTGGGTCCCATGGCAGAAAAGGAATACAAATTTTCCTTTTTTTTTATACAGAAAACTAAAACTTTAAAACAAAGGGAAGTTCACCTAATAATCTTGTACTGTAATGTAATATTTTTTATTTGGAAGGTATTAACTCAGGTTTGACTGGTTCATTTTGCCAGTTTTAAGAGAAGTGTGTGATAAAACATCCTCCATAACCATAATGGAAGTCATTTTCAGGTTAGAAGAACGGAGATAATTTTTGTTTTTCAGTACTGGCCAGATCTCAAGTTACAACTACTGTGCTGTACATTCAAGTAATAATTACCTTTTAAACAAATACCACAAAGAATCCAGTCTAGTGGCACCATTGTCCTCAACATGTACAATGAAAGACAAAACTCGTGTCGTGAAATTTGGTGAAAACATATGCCGAAGGCCTAAACTTTTGGTGCGATCTGCTTTACAGGAGCATCTGCGGTCGTTGTTTACATGTTAGAAACAAACAACGATATCATTGGACGTGTTTGTTATAATTGAATTGGTTCACTTTTTCTAGAGATGATGTTTGGGAGATACTAGTAAGAAAATGAGGTTAGGTTTGGTCAGGTTCTAATAGGCTCTGCATTCTGCATTCTCACATCCATATTTGTGTTCAGTATCATCCAAATAGTATCTCCAGAATTTTTGGTTCAATTCCATGAGTTATTTTCTGGTGCTAACAATCTCCACTTTTACCTCTTTATTAAGAATGAATACAGTGCTTGCTGCTTGGACTGCCATGTTCATCTTGCTCCTTCTGTTGATAACATAAAAAAATAATACTGACCCTAACCAGCCTACCTAATATAAAACAAAATAAATTATGAAGTAAAATCATTCAATCCCAGATAGGTAGGTAGGTCTGGCTGGTGTATCATATCTAAAATAAATGATTGTATGTCACTGCAGGAGAAAAGTTTAGCTCTCGGTACAGAATACCACTTCAACAAAATAGCTGAACTTATATGAAAAGTAATTAATATAATTGTTACATAAATATTTTAAGTTGCTGCTGTTTTTTGTGCCCATTTAATGGAGGTGTTAATGTCAGTATGAAATATTTTTTGTCTATTGGGGTGTGCTTACTCAGGTGATGGACTTCCAGATAGCTCCAGCATCACAGAGAAGCATATTGAGGATGAAAATTCAGAAAACCAAATGTAGGAAATTTGCAATTCTGCCACCCATTTCTTTTTAATCATGAGGTAAAAGACGAGTTTTGTTCTAAAGAAAATCTCTCTAAAGTGGCTCTTTCCCTTGAGTTTGATGGGTAAGTTACCATTTATTTATTTATTTTTTAATCTAAAAGTAGACAAACAATTATTAAACCTGTAATCTGAACTTGTAATGTTCTTTCCTTTCTCTCCCACCATGGTAACGTTTGTGCATTAAAACTACAAAAATTTTATGTATACACAAGTATTATCAGCACCAGTGAAGAAACTCTAGATTAATCCAGCACAGTCGGGGCTGTGAAGTATTGGAACCTTATTATTCATGTAACAATCTAATGCTATATGTAATGTACTGTATATTATCACTTTAGCCCGTGGGTATTCTTGGGCATAACCATTGGTTAAAGGCCAGTAGTGTACAGAAACAGAAAAATGAGATACAATTGCCTATGTATCGCCCCAAAAAATTTCTTAAACTAATAAGATAGAGAACAATTAAACAACACTCACCACATCATTAAGAACAAGCTTCACCTCCAGAGACATGGTGTTCCTGGGTGCCTTGGCCTTCCCAGACACAAGACCCTCAGTAACAGCATGATAGACATTTTCAAAGTTATACTGTTCACTTCAGTCACAAAAATAGAATGAAAGCACTTTGCAATAGCAAAAAGAGTACAACCTGAATGTTAGTTATGTCCTCTCACTGATAAATAAAAGTCAACGTAACGACAATAATAGCGGCTGACACTGCTCGCACCATGTTCACAAAAACATAACCAAAGCGCTTTACGGTCACAAAAAAAAACATTGTAAAAATCACTCAAGTCACCAAAACAGAGCGCAGTCTGAATGTTAGTGATGTCTTCTTACTGTAAAGGAATAAAAAAAATATAATTGATAAGTAACAACAATGATACTGACTGAAAATCGTTGTTACACAATCACGGGCAGATGCAGCCACCATAGAACAAAGTGCGGGACTGTAGCACACCGGGTGCCCACGTGGCAGTGTGCGGGTAGGTTATGTTGTGGCTGACAAGTGCATCAATAGATGTGTTCTGTATTCCGCGGGTCAGCGAGTTTGGCCGTACAATGGCCATTGTTAATGCGAATTTTATCATAATTAAGGAGGTACAGTGGGGTATGCTATAACGAACGTAATTGGTTCCAGAACCTCGTTCGTTATAGCATTCGTTCGTTATAGGATTAATCCGTTCCAGGCCCCCAAATACAACCGCTTAACACTGAAAAAATTCTGTGGAAAATGTAAAAAATACGGTACTTTATCTTACCTTAGTGTTATTCAGCATGCAGGTACCCCTAAACACTGGCACAGCACTATCACTTCCACTGGGAGTCTTGGCTTTAAGGTCCTCAAACAATTGTTTAGCCTTCTCACAAATTATAGCTTCACTAATGTTACCACCTGCCATTTCTTTCTCCTTTATCCACACTAAGAGTAAATTTTCCATCTCTTCAATCACATTACACCTTGCTTTGCTAAGTCTAAAGATTCCCTTAGCCACTTGCACAGTTTTTAACTCCTCTTTATTCTTCAAAATCGTACATATAGTCGATTTAGCCATCCCATATTCATCACTAAGTTTCGCAATGCTTCTTCCATTCTCACGTTTCTTTATAATTTCTTTCTTAGTTTCAAGGGTTATTAGCTTTCTCACTTGCTTTGGATGACTCATTGTTACAATTGTATACTTGTATAACAAAATAGTTATACAAATAATGCGAATTTCCACATCAAAAGACGAAATTTCAACAATAACAGTGGTGCACTGGCTACACAATGAGACAAAGATGGCGCCTGACGCTCTTGTTGTGGGTCGCGGTACAACAATATTCATGCGCCAGGCGAAATAGTCCGGTATTCATCCGCGTTCGTTGTAGGAGTTGCGTTCGTTATAGCATTCTCAATTTTATAGGTAAAACCGTTCGTTATAGGAATATTCGTAGTAGGATCCGTTCGTTATAGCATACCCCACTGTAGTCGTAAAACATCGCTAAAGCGAAATACAGTATTGTAAATCGAGGTTTACCTTACAGTATACTTTTTTATTTACATTTTCATGTAAAGTTTTACAGGCTTTCAGTATTAGGTGCTACTGTAGCGAGTACCGTAGTCTACAAGATAGGTTAAGTTAGGGTAGACTAAGGATACCTTTGTAGACCACATGCTATACGTAGTAACACCCAAAATTTCATGGTGTACTGTACAATACTGTACAGGTATGTACAGTACAGTCAGTTCTGCTATAACGCGATAGTTGTGTTCTTGTAAAACATCGTGTTATAGAAATTCGCGTAATAGAAATAACAGGACCTATGGAGAAAATAGGGTTAGGTGCAGATTACTCAAAATAGGAAAAAATTTAGTAGTTACCCTAACACAAAGGATAGCACAGTCTAAATAAATGTTACATTCATATCTAATAATGAGATCATACAGTAAATGTAACACTTTACCTTGAAAAAATATAAATATAACTTGATGGGGGAGACGGGTGATTTTGAGGTTGATAACACCAAGCTTCTCTTCAAGGGTTATAGCCTTTCTTTTACGATCATCACCGGGAATGCGATCACCAGAACGCTTCTTGGAGATATTCTTCATTACCATATTCACAGTTATTACCACAAAATTGGAGAAATAGTAAGCAAAATCGCATTACAGCAAACAAGCGTTCGCGTTATACAAATATCGGTCCTCTATTCTTAAATCGCGTTAGAGCCAATTCGCATTGTCAAAACACGCGTTATAGCAGAACTCACTGTATGTAACTCAGAGCTGTGGTTGACAGAAACATGAGCTAATTTTAACATTAATAGCATTACAGTATTTACAAAATGTGGCCATAAGTAGTTTAATAATAGCATTTATTTTTAATTACAGTTGGGAAGACATCGCTCATCACGAGGTTTATGTATGACTCCTTCGACAACACCTACCAGGTAGATACACATGGCTTGTCTTTTATAATTTTCATGACTCTTGACGATGAAATACAAAATGGTACAGGTACAGTACAGTATGTAGATTTCATTTGGTAAACTTCATGTCAGGAAGTTTCTGTTTCGCACAACATGCTATGTCGACGTTACTACGGTATTCCTGGATGAACAGGGTACGCTCATAGTTTTAAAAGGTCCTCTCCAACAATGGGGGGGGGGTCTTAGTGTTGACGACCCATTTGAAAAACTGTAAATTGTGAAGGGCACCACACTGTGTAGTGTTTGATGGGGAGGTTTGGCAGTAAAACAAACTAATATTAAAAGTTAGTTTTACTGCCTCAGCTCCCTGTTGAGCACTGTAATGCTGTGTCCTTTGTGACTCACATTTTTTAAACTTGTCAACACAAAGACCCTATTGACGGAAAGGGGCGTTTGAAACTACTGTATGGAGGTAAGTCTCTTCACTTGACTAGGCCTCTTGGACTATAAAAATTTGATTAACCTACTGAATATTTTTAAGTTTGTCATAGTAAAAGGTTAGTGAAAGAGTTACCTTATTTTTGTATTTATATATTGTGTTATGCTTCAGCAGACTTTAATCTCGTCCATTAATTCATTATATTAATAGAATTTGATTATTTTAAAATATATTTTGAAAGCAAAATCTAGAGGCAACAGTTTAACTATACATACATTATTGATTAACCAACACGAGTACTGTACTGTGCTGTATTCATGACAGTAGTTTTAGCATTTCTGTTGGATCTTTAACATATGAAAGTGTAGACATATCACTCAAATTGAAGGTATGGAGATTACGTTATTTGCCAAAACTGGAGTTTGAAGATTATTGTTACTAAAATGTTCAAGAGGAGATTCAATAAACACACAGGTATGTTGCTGTGAAAGTGAAGGTAGGTTCCAGAGGCCTGATAACCAGTTATAGGGATTATGCACACAGCATATTTTAGACTGAACTTTTTTGATATAAAAGTAGGAGCATTAACCTCGAGGACAGAAGGCTAAAGCTTTATTCCCTTGGCTGCTGCACTGCAGTATGGTACTACTGCTTAGGTAAAGAGTATGTGATATAGCCACTTAGTGAGGATTGCATGGGCTAATTTTGTGTGAATTGATCTCGGTTCTTAGCCCTGTATTATGGCAATACGGGGCTAAGAACTCGATATGGACACTTTAGTTTTGGGCAACAACTGTACAGCTATAAGTACAGGGTATTTACATTTTCTGGAAGTTTGTAGTGATAACATTTTTATGCAAGGGCTGTACATTGTCCATGCTGTTTAATTTCATAAATCAGTCCCCATTTGTGTTAACAAGTCACTGGGAAAAAGGCTTGTTTAAGATAGATATTTTTAGTTAGTTATCAATAATTTATATCCCAAGGGCAGGTGATTTTGAAATACCCGTATAAGGATAAAATAGTTTACTGCAGGTTTGTCTTAATAGTATTTGAAGATTACCCCCGGTATGTACTGTACATGTTATTTGTGATGGGTTGGTCACAGAAGTGGTAAAAGGTTTTAATGACAGTTTTCTTGGTACCATAAGTACTATACTTGTACTGTAGCATTTAGAAAAGAGCAAAGATTTTTTTTAAATACTGTACAGTACTTAACTTGTCAGATTTTCATATTGTATTTTGATGAGGGTGGCCAAGAATGTTAACATTGTAAGCATGGGACAGTTCCTGCTAGTCAGTCAAAAGGTTCTATCAATCAGTGTTAAATTTGATATTCAAAGAGCTGGCTGCTGTGCAGAGTCACGTTTCATTCAGAAAGCAGAGTCGAGTCAAAACACCTTTGGGCAAAATCCCATTCCTGTATTGTACACTTACTGTATTTACCTCAGCATTGTGTATGTCATTTTTTTCCTACAGTTGTCATATGCTTTGTTGGTTCTCTGAATCTTTTTCTACCCTTATTGTGGCCTACATAATATATAAAGATGTACCTGTAATATAATGTGGTGCTGTATATTATATTATGTTCTTTCCACCGAAGTTAATGCTGCCTGTTGTCTGGCCTTTGACATTGTAGTGAAGAATAGAGGGTAAAGATGGCCGTTGTGATCGATCCATTGTTGTTTGATACGGGGGTGTACAGTATTATCTGGCGTAATCATGATTCACATAAAAAGTAGAGTACTATACTGTACCGTATAAGCATTTTATTTCCACCAGATAATATTATGCAGAACAGTATATGTGAGTAAATTTAATGGTATTCAGGATAAGAATTTTGTACATCATTTAAGGTGAATTTGATGATAAAAATGTTAAATAAGAGGATGTGTTGATTAAAGAGTGCTTGACCGGTATAAGTAATGAATGATGTCAATGCTTGGCTTGGTGAAGATTATGTACAGTAAAAGGACAGCCCATCAAGCAAGGGGAAACTGTTAGAAAGATTGAGTCTAGCAGATAAGGGGATCAGTGTCAAATGTTTTGAAGAAGTGATAGCTGGAGTGACAGATGTGTTACTTTCTCTCCATTGGTTGCTCAGGATCACGACTGACAGTTTCTTCCCCAGGAAATTGTCTTCACCTCCTGCATCCTGCTCTTAGGTTATTACTTCCTAGTACCACTGTAGGCAAGGAATGAACTATTATTCCTGTCACTGATGAACTGGTGCATTTTTTTTCTGTAGCTTTGAAACAATACACTTTTGTTTCCCGTATTCAGAAAAGTTTGGATAGTTTTTTTGTATATACTTAATTGGTATAATTTACAAAGCATGTAAAGGTTCATAGAAAAAACATGTTTGTTTAGTGGACTTAATGCTGATATTGATTATAGTATACAGTGCAGTACTGTGGAGTGCCTCAGATAATTCAAAATCTGATATAGCTACTGAGAGAGTTTTGAAGAGACAGGTGGTGCATTTATGGAGTGAAGATAATGTAATGGCAAGATTCAACTATTGTACTGTGTTGTGTTGGTAGGGAGCAGAAGACCCATTAAGAGATCAAGGAAAGGTTAGAATGTGTAGTATGGCAGCAGAAAATAATGGAGAGCGTCATTGTGTGGGACAGCAGAGTGGAAGGATTAATTACGGAGTACAGTTGTATGCCAGATTTAATTGGGTTTTGAAATATAGTGGAAGGGTTGATTTTTTTTGCTTGTGTTGTAAGAGAATTGTGTTCCGTCCTGTAGTGCTGCATTTAACCGGTACCATAAGATAAGGTTTAGATTTAGAGGAGCCATAAAACACAATTAACTCGGGACTGGGAGATGAGGTTTTTAACTTAATCCCACCAGGTAAGACATTATCTCATTAGGAGTCTTAAGATTTTGATTGATTAACAAATTACAAGATTAAAAAAGGCTTAAATTGCAATAGGTAAGGTAAGACAGGATGTAATAGAGTATCATAAAGTAAAAAAAAAAAAAGAGAGAATTTGAAACTACAGTATGATTTGGACCAAGTGAGGGGTGGCAAGGAAAGGTGATTTTCAAGAACTGCTCCTCTGGGAAATGTCCGGTAAGGCAGGGTTCAGTTTCAATCTGTGGGGTTTAAAGAAATGATTCACTAAGGTAACTTCAACCTGAGGACCTCGAGTTAAGGGAGAATTTTAACCAAGGCTTTGAAGTTGAAGTGAAAAAAATATATATTTATCGATTGGGAAGTAAGAAAAGGATTAGAATCGAAATAGACGAGTTTGGTTGGTTTAGGATTGGAAATGTGGTCCCGAGTTAAATGTTTGTTTTTTTTATAGGATGCTTAGACTGAGTTACAACTTCTTAACGTGGGACCATACGCTTATACCCGGTGTTACTGTATTAGGGAACAAGGAGCCATGCTGTAGGACTAACTAGGTAGTGTCATTAGAGAGATGATTAAATTCATCACTAAGAGGGTTTAAAGAGTGAGTTGATGATAACACAATTATACAGTAATACTTAAAAAAGAGTGAGATGAACTATACTATTACCTATATTAAGTCGCCATTGCATAACTGGATTAGGAAAATAGACTAATATACAGTCTCATGGTAGAATATTTTTTAAGAGGAGACGAGAGAATTATGACTGTTTTAATTTAGGATTCTGTAACGAGTATCAAGATGTTTGGTTGAGGGGAAGTTGGGGCATTGCAGTTGAGTTTGAGGAGGCAAGGACCAGGCTTAAGTTTGTTAGGAATGTGAAGGCTGTTGCAAGGTTTTAATGCCGTGGTTTGTTAAAATGCCAATTATTAATATGATGATTTGCAGAGAACGGGCGAGGTTTAACGACGTGATGCAGGGGCCGATAAAGTGCAAGATTATTAAAGTTTAAGGAGCCGGGGTTTTAACTGGTGGGTAGGCCAAGACGGGGGGGGGGGGTGTTAACAATGGGGGTGGAAAGAGCTCGTTCACGGACTCCTGGGTTTAGTAAAGGGTCTTTCTGGTGGAATAAAATTTAACTGGGGTTGGTTTAGCAGGAGTTATGATGAAGGGTCAGAGTTTAACTCGGGAATAAACCCTGAGGTAAACCAGTATATACTGTATAAGACAGAAATAAAGGTTTTACTTTGTATATGGGTTTCGATTATTTGGTTCTTGACGTGGGTTACTGGGCGGTGCAGGGAGAGATTACTAGGAGATAGATGAAGAGGAAGTGAAGGTGTTTGAAGAGACCACAAGGCTGCTAGTGGTGATGGTGGTGGTAGTAGTGGTGGCGGTGTTGGATGACTAAAACATCAAGATAGTGCATACAGTATAGTGCACTGTACCTGGTTTTATGATGCTGTAATAATTAGGGATGTTGATAAACCAGTAAAACGGGATCTTGTTTGTTGTACCCAAAAGCACAGATGGGTGGAGAGGTAACAGACTACACGAGGCTTGAGTAATGTGTTTGCTTGTCACTTAACATAACTGCGTGATGCGTCATGGCTGCACCGTCACCATCGATACTTAAGGAAAAAAAGTTTTCCATCACTCTGGATTGTGTGTCATTTTGTATGGGAGGTTTTCTTTTATCTCAGTTGAATTTTAGTGCG